TTTTTGGCTATTTTAGCCACAAAAAACAAAATAGGCTATTTTAGCCATAACAAACAAAACAGGTGATGAATACCTAATAATACTTTTACCAAGTTTAAAATAATTGTATATTGTCTATAAAAAATTTATATCTTAAAAATTATATAACAATTTTTTATGGGCATGGTTCACATGGCCTAGGACAGCCCAATCCACAACTGCTTTGGATGGCCTAAAAAGGCATTTAGTCACAGTCCAGTAGGTGAAACTCAAATGCAGGCCCACCGAAGAACCCACGCTGGCCCAAACCCTGTGGCACTTAGACACATGTTAGGTAGGGAGTTAGCCACGTGACAGACAAAGATCCTACAGAATTATTGAATCCAGACATCAAGCATTAAATAAGGCTGTGAATTTTCACCAATCATTCATAAATTATATGATATGAACATCGAATAATAAAAAATATAAATTTTTTACGGGTAAAATACACTAACACTCTTTAGATTTTTATTTAATATAGATTTTTCCTTCACGTTTGAAAAATTATATTCCACTCCTGAGATTTGAAATCTCATTACAAATTAGCCCCTGGATAGATAGTGTCATGCCCTAAAATTTTTAAATAACTATTTTGCCCTTTTTTTCTACCATTTATTCTCCCCTATCATCATGACTACGTTCTATAACTTTCCATCATCTGAACATATTCTTATTGAGTTATAATATATAAATATAAAATTTTCAAACAAAATCATATAGTTTAATGGTGACTTTTTACTTCAAAACAAAACACACTCATAAACATTATTTATATTTACAATAATATCACTATCACAATATTTTTTTAATATTTTTTATATAAATTTTTAACAAGATACCTCAAAAGACGTGAGTATAATTTACTCAATTTTTATTTGTATAACATAACTCAAAAAAATAAAAATAGACTTTTTAATCAGATAAAACAAAACATCACAATCAACTCATAATCATTACTTATTTCTTTCACAAAAAGTCAAAAAAGTCAATAAGTCCTTTCCAAACGAGACTTTTTAGTCTCAAATTAAAATAATTAAAAAGTTAAAAAATCAAAAAATCAACCCACGTCTCAAACAAATGCTAAGGAATTTGGAGATGTGAAGTTTTGTTGGGTGGGTTTGGAGATGTGAAGTTGATAATCGAGGGTTAGGTATTGGCCCCGTTTGGTAGAGTTGTAGAAAATTGATTATAAATTATAATTTAACAGATTATAACTTATAGCTGTGAACATAAACTGTTAACCTGTTTGATGCAGCAGTAGGATTATGGATTTAAGCAGTAAAGTAGTGTTTGGTTGATAAGCTGTAAAATAATTTTTTACTGTGTAATTGTCCCTTTTGTTATTTTGTCATTTTTTTCAGTTTTAATTTAAAAAAAAATTATTTCATTAATAAAAGTTAATATAATCAGTATTACAAAAATTATTATTTTTATTTCTTCATTATAAATTAATTAGTGTAAAATTATTTCATTTTTTTCATTATAAATTAATTAGTGTCAATTAATGGCTTATTTTCATTTGTTCATTATAAATTATTATTTTCATTTTTTCATTATAAATCAATTAGTATAAAATTATTTCATTATAAATTAATTTGTGTCAATTAATGGCTTAATTAGTATCAATTAATACTAAAATTATTAATTAGTATCAATTAATATAAAATATATTTCATTCATGGTTAAAATGCTTAATTATTATTCTTATTATTTTTATTAAAAAAAAACATTGAAAACCTTCACACACACACACACACACAAAAAACACTGAAAACCCTAACTCCTGCGAGCACAACGATGGTGGGTTGAAGGGAATTGAGTTTGTTATTAGTGGTGGTGGTGACGGAGTTTTGAGACTTGAGATTGGAAAGGAGATCATTGTTTGCAGTAGAAGAATCTGAAGACGATTGCAAAGAATAGAGGGAAGAAGTTGCAAAGAGCTTAACACCAGTGAGAAGAAACCTATTGTGATTACGAGCGTGCTGGTTGGCTTTATGTATTGGAATATCACAATCTCTACATAGAATCGCTCTGTCTTGTTGAGAAAACAAGAAAGCCCTCTTCTCCTACAAGCACAAATAAGGCCTAAATCACACCAAAATACGCTAATATATATGAATTTTATTGATGGGCTTTGTTGGGTTGTGTTAAGTTTGTACCTGGGAGATGTCACAAAGAGGGAATTGTTTGGGAGAAAGGTGGAGGGGAGAGAAATGCTGGTGTTTTCTGACGAGCTTGTTAACATGGTGGACGCAGTGGTCGCAGGTGGCGAAGAGGGCGGCCTCATCGACCGAGCAAAACACCGATGCTTCTTCTTTGTTACAGACGTTGCACTAGATCTTCATTTGGATTGCTTTTCAAGATTAAATCCAAACGATTTTACCAAGTCAATTACTAAGGATGATAATTGAAGAGAAGAATTGTTGAGATTTTTGACATACACAGAAAGAGAAAGAGAGAGAAGCTCGAATCTTAGTCAGAAATCGTCACCGAAAATTGCCTCTCACGCTCTCTCTCTCTCTCCGGACATGAACAGTGTTTGAAGGGGCATTTATATATCAGTATTTTGGTAATTTTTGAATTTTTGAAGGGGCATTTAAGTCATTTCGCCCCTTCCACAATCAACTGCGCATATAAGCTAAAAGAAAAAACACCTCTGAGGCAGCTTATAACTTTTAGTTCAAAATCAATTAATTTAAGTTATAATCTATCTCTCATAAGCTCAATCAAATACTCTAAAATGACTTATTTTAAACCAAAAATTAATTTAAATTAAAATTAAATACTACTAAACAGACACATTATCGCGTCACCCTTTTATTCCATTAAATTAATTTACTATAATATGTACGGCCCATTATAATCATGGTGGAGCGATAACCCACCAGCCACAACTAGCCGTAGTAAAATAATATTAATTTCTAAGAATGGAATTATTCAGCAAATTCGACGCTTTATTTTCTCATTTTTATGATGGCTCTTCAACAATTCATGCGGCCTTATCATCAATTAAAAATCTCTCTTTTCTTTTTTCTTTTTTCTTTTTTTTCTTTTATCTCTAAATCTTCTCTTTTAAAACATCCTATATGTAAATAAATTTCTCACTATATTTTTTTTAAGAAAAATTGTGTTTAAATTATAGAATCGAGTAAGATTTTTTTTTTTTTTTAAAAAGGAAAAAGTGAGAAATCTTAGTTAATTTTTTTTCCCCCGTTTTCCTGGCCTCCCCTTTTTGCTTTCTGATCTATATTAAAATTTATTATCTAAATACATCTTTAGTGTTAAGCACATAGGTAATCATATTCATATTAATAAATACATGTAAAAACTATACAAGAAATTTATTTATGTATGACATTTTCTTCCAAGCAATTATATATAACCTAATTTTTTTCATTCTTTAATACAAGATGCTGAGATGCAAATTACTAATGTTGTGTTTGGTTGGGGAATTTGAGGAGGGATTTGGAAAGGGAAAGGGAAAAGGTATGTGAAACTAGGTGAAATATAAACATGTTTTATTCACATTTCACCTAACTTTTCCATTTCTCTTTCCAAATCCCCCAACCAAACACAGCATAAATATATTATATATATATATAGTATCCACTTATGTCTAAAAGTAAAAAAATAATGAAGGGCAATATATACTTTATAGCTAACTGATATAAAAATGTTTTGAAATCAAGGCAAAGTACTTTGTTGAAAATATTTTGAAAAATTCTAAAATCAATTAGGCTATATTTGAATAGTATGAATTTTAATGGGAAATAAGAATGTCGTTACTAATAGTAAATACCTTAGGAATTTTTAATAGGAAAATAATAAATTCGGAAATATTATAGACTCAGTTATTTTTTTTTTTTTTTAACAGAATCTTAAAGCATTTTGAAATAAATAAAAATTACAACATGTTTTTTAAATTGTCTTTTTCTCCACAACTATTTAGCTTAGAGCATCTCCAACGGTAGTAGGCATTTTACCTATCTAAATATTACTATAAAATATATATTTTATTTTACCTATCAACTGTTTTATGTTTTTACTCCAATCATGCTCTTTATTTTAGCTATTAATCCAAATACTATTAATTTTATAGAATGCCACGTCAACAACAAAGATGGAGGGAAAAGATCCTAATGATTGAATACATTTTGCCTAGCGTTGAAGGCTAGCTACATGTAGCTAGTGAATATGAGTTGAGACAAAATGCCTAATCATATGCCTAATGCGTTGGAATTGAAAAAAGTGAATCACTTAACTAACAAGTATTATATGCCTAGTGCATTGGAGATGCTCTAAACATTTATACTGGGTTTAGTTAGAAAATTTAGAAAAGAATCACTTTGCTTGGTTTGAGTTTTCTAAAAATATTTTTTATAAAATTCTACTATCTTGTTTTCCTTATTTTTTTTTGTTTTTATTGAATTTTTTAAATATTTTAAACAATTTTTTTTTAATTTTTAGACGCACTTAACATAAATATACTTAAAAAGTATAATTTTTGTGAAATTTTTTTAAAAAAAAATTATTAAATACCAAAAATACAAAAAAAATATATAAAATTTCAACAAATTTTTTGTATTTTTGTATATTTATTAATTTATTAAAATATTTTTTCACAAATATTTTACTTTTTAGACACATACATCTAAGTAAGATGTATCTAAAAAAATTTAAAAAAAATGTTTAAAATTTTAAAACTATTCACTAAAAACAAAAAATACAAAAAAAAATAAAAAAACTCAATTTTTAAAAAAATTAATTCAAAAAATTCAAACCAAACACACTGCATAATTTTTCGTTTTCTTTTTCTTTTTCTTTTTTAAATCAATTTCCAAAATATTTCAACAAATTATCAAATCTCTATTATATATATATTTTTTTGTGTGTGTGCTGCATATTTTTTAACCCGAATCTCTAGCATTTTTGGTGTTTTGTGGTTGTTGATTGAAAAAATAAAAAACAAAAAACTAAAGTAAAGAACAAACGAGAATAAAGAACTAATCATTCCTTCAACAAGAGAACAGAGGAGCCTACAGGCTACACAGCAAATATATATTTGCAAACAAACACAAAACACATATATCTTCATCTTGTTTAACAGCATCATCATCTACCAATAATAATGGTGATTTGATTTGGATGATTGATTTCCATCTCAGTGTCTTCTGATGTTGTTCTTCAATAGCATCTCACGCAACTCAGCCACATCTATATCGTCTGCGTGATTCTCCGGCCTGTAGTACCCTGTCTTCGGATCTGGAACCCACGACGATGTCTTCGTCACCTCTTCACCTCCTTTCTTCGCCATCGCCGCCCTTGCTCCTCCACTTCCACTCACAGCAACACCTTGCGACGCCCCCGCATATCCTCGCCTATACAATACAATACAATACAATACATACATCAACACTCAATTATATAGATTAATATCCAATCTCCATTCACTTTTCTCCTTAATACACATACAAATTGAAAACAAAAAAAAAACTTTTTGAATCAATCAACCAGAGTTTTTAAAGTCGAGATCGAAATCTAAAAAATATAATCAGAAGCATTTACTCTGTTTTTTTCTTCAAACACGAAATCTATGATCAGATTGGGAAATATGAACTACCTGCTTGCAGAAACGGAGATTCTATCGACGATGAAGGCAGAGAGAAGCTTAGCGTTGGAGAGAGAACGAGCCATTTTTTTTTTTCAAAATCAAAACAGGGAGAGAATTGAATGCTACTGCGAAAAGAGTCTTTCGTCTTCTGTAGAAAAACCTAATCACAGCAGCGAACGAAACTCTCTTCTCAGCTCTCTCTGTGTGTCTCTCTCTCTCTCTGTGTTCGCTCTAGGGTTGTGAAGATCGTGATGAGTACGAAGAGAGGCAGGAGTATATATAGAGAGAGGGGTTTGGAACGCGTGAGAGGTGAGAGAGGAGGAAGGCGTTTGGCACTAGGGTTTAGTGGAGGCCTCGTCAAAGTAGGATTCTAATCATACGCGAACTTCCTCTCGTTTTTTGCCACCTGGTCACCGAGGCTTTAGAGCCGTTCACTTGTTTTTTCAAAGAAAAAATGTTATAGATTCTAAATAATTTATCAAAACTTTTTCATGAACGTGAGATTTATATAAATTTACATGTGCGTTTATATTTATGTGAAAATTTTGATAAAAATATTTAATAAATTATTTGGAGTTTCTGGGCTAGTTATTTTTTAAAGAAAAATGCTTCCTACTCCCAGCTGGGGGTGACACCCAGTGAGGTGTCAGCTGGGGGTTGGTCCGGGAAAACAGTTTTTCTTTTTTTCTTTTTTTTTTTTTATTTCTGACCAGTGGGGGCGCGCCACATCACTGGGGCGCCACCCCACTGGGTGTATGAAGCAAGATTGTTTTTTAAAACTCTGTCCAAAATGTCCTAAATACCCCGGATTGTACCCTGAATTACTTGGTCAACGTTTTCTATCATTTCGGAATCGAGTTGGGTCAAGGAGGCCCTCATTCACCATCCCTTTGCCCAGTCAGAAAATATAGATTGTGTGAGTGGTACAAGTTAACGGGTTAATATGAATTGATTTGAGAGCTTAGCTTAAATATATCGAGTTAACCCAAGGGGTTATGGCATTGTGGTAAGGTCTTGGGGTTTAAAACTCAAGGTCACAAGTTCAATTCACTTATTGGGCCAATTTCCTGGGTGAAGCACTGTTGGTTAGGAGGTTGGACTTCAAGGATGCCTAATTAGCTACTTGGTGTGGGTTTAATGCTCCCCCGCTGTGCGAGTCCTGACTTAATTGAAGCTTGCCGACTTAATTGAAGCTTACCTTGGGAGGTCGGGACAAGCTTCCAGGTTATAGTCTCTTACTCGGAACGGACAACAGTGCGAGTCCTGACTTAATTGAAGCTTGCCGACTTAATTGAAGCTTGCCTTGGGAGGTCGGGACAAGCTTTCAGGTTATAGTCTCTTACTCGGAACGGACAACAGGACACCCTGGTGATCTCCTCATGGGGCGCTGCCTTGGACCTGCGGGAGGGTGGGAGGATTTCCCTGTAATAAAAAAAATAAAAAATAAAAAAAATTATCAAGCATTTTTTGAATTATTTTTTAGTAATTCATTATTATTTGTGACTCAAATTTTTTTATTCTCCATATTTTATAATAAAAATAAAAACTCAATTTTCATATTTCATAAACAAAAAATATAATTACTAAATAAAATGGTCTTTTTTTAACACACACAACATAAAAATATAAGATCATTTTTTAAGAGTGCCGGCAGATTGGATTGGATTAGATTACATCTCATCCGTCATTTGTCCGAACTTAAGCGGATTAGGAAAAATGCATTTTCAACTGTCCATTAAACCATTGAAATCGTCTATTATGTGGTTGATTAATTCGGACTATCAATAACTCAACCATGTAAAACCCAACTTATTTACTATCGTGGATGAATTATGAATTTTAAATTATAAGTCTCAGCATTATTCGTAAATGAAACTTTCACTCAAATTTTTACTTAACTTTGAATAACAATTGGAGATGGGTTATAAAAAATAAAAATAAAAATAAAAATTAGAAAGTTACGATTCAATAGTGCCTTAATAAAACAATTACAAATTTATTTAAAATATTAAAATTTATAAAATTTATCAGACTGATATGAAATATTTTTAGAAAACATACGTTGAACTAATATTTCTCTTAAAACATTTATGAGTGATTTTGGATTGGACAAGTATCCAATATTTCTCTTAAAACATTTATGAGTGATTTAGGGCTGGAAAAATATCTATGCTAACTAGTAACATATAACACTAACGTGTGATGTGCAATAGTTTTTCCTAACTACAATTTACATGGCAAATCAAATGAGGCTTGACATATTGGGATATTGGGATCAAGTAAATTTAAATGCTCAAAGAAATATTATTCCATAGGCATAATTATTTTTTATCTTACATTTATGTCTCATATTATAAAAGTATTTTGTATTCATAAACAGGGTGATTGGGATGATTGATTTATGAATAATGTTATTATGATCACACTAACTTAGCATTGATATCAATTACGTTTTTAGTTACTCTCTTTTCAATTCACATGTAATGTAAAAGCATTTTCAATGGTTGTTGTTATATTACTATTGTTATTGTTATAATTTAGCAATGAATATTGCTATTTTGTCAAATTATAGTCATGGTGCTCCAATGGTCATTTGCTATTTTGGCAAATCTCAACTAACTTTGCCTCCAAATTTGTAGGTGTTATTTGGATATAGGTTTTTTTGTGATTTTTTTTTTTTGTCTTTCATGACTTTTTTTTAATTGTTTGTAAAAAAAAAAATTATATATTTATATTATTCTTGACTAGACAAATATAAAAAATGAAAAAAAATTGAAAAATTGGAAAAATAAATAAATAAATAAATTTTATCTTTTTATTGCCTTCATTTGAAAAAATATATTTATTTTCTCATTATACTTTATTGAAAAAATTAAATTATACTAAACTATTTTGCTACATTATACATTGCAAAAATAATATTACATTCTTTTGTAGAAAATACTCAAAAATAAAAACAAATATGAAATTTCATTACAAAATAAAAATATGAGGACTACTTGACGAAAATTTCATTACATTATCCCGTAATTATTTATCAAGAGGCAGAGGGAAATAGTAATTTAGGCTACTAATATTTGAGGACCACTAAGCGAAAATCTCATTTTTTCACATTGTGTAATACGCTTTCGTCTGAGGGTCCAAATAAGAAATGTCCGTAGTTATTATCGTATGTTCTTCCTTTTTCATCTCATGTTCTTATCTTTTGATCTCAAAGTCATGTTTTTTCATCTCAAGTTCTTTCATCTCATGCAGTGCTTGAATCATTTTTTCTTCTCTTTCATCTTTTTTTTTTTCCCTTCTTAGCAAAGTACTGGTTAAATGTGTCCAATTGTGTGCTCATTTTTTAAACTTCAGCTTGAACAACTTGATTTTTCCAAAATAATTCTTTTACAGTTTTCCTACCCATAATCTTTTACCTTTTGTAAAGACACTGCCCTCACAAACAGTTGGATTGTTATCAACACTTGGACTTATGTCATCTTCAAGAGAAATGCAGTTATCCATAGCGGAATCAGGGGTTGAATTAGGGGAAAACAGTGTATGTATTCTTAACTTCACCGTATTCGTAGAAGTTACATCTTGCCACCTAATATTGTTTTGCAAAATTGGCCAGCAATGTTCAAAAACAAAATGTTTGTTTTCATCTTGATGGTACAACAATTTTGCTTGAAGCATATATATCAATAAAATATTAAATTAATTAATTAGTTAATTTTTATGTAAAATAAAATAAAAAAACTAACATAATAAATAAGAATGAAATCTTACTATATCAACTTGTGACGCCCTACTTGGATGTAGATTTTCGACTTGTGCTAGACACCCACGAATTTGTTGCAACATGCTTGAGTCTGACCCTGAGACTTGATTTGAGAGACATTCTAGTTTCGTTAGATTTTTCTCGATTTCAATGTCTGTTTTTGTTTAGTAGATTTTCATCTGTGTTGGATTTTCATATGTAAAATGTCCGCTGTTAGCGCCCAATTTATGAATGAAAATTTCATATGCTTTCAAGATATTTCTCGTATTGTTTGTTGTATGAGTAGGTAATTAGGAGAATCAGTGGTTAGGACAAAATTTCAAGACTACATGAGATGGCAGACTTATAAACCGACTGAGCTTAGCGATATGATTAAAACAATGAATCTGCCCTTGCCCCAACGAGTTCACGATCGTAGAATGCCGAATAACACGTCCATAAGAACCTTGTGTTGAGGCATCGATTTGGGGAACGGCTGGGGCGCTTAAGCCGACTAGATTGATAAATCTGCCCTTGCCCCAGCGCGTTCGCGATCGTAAAACGCCAAATAACACGTCCATAAGAACCTTGTTGAGGCATCAATTCGGGGAACGACTGGGGAACTTAAGCCGACTAGATTGATGAATCTGCCCTTACCCCAGCGGGTTTGCGATCATAGAATGCCGAATAAATGCGTCCATAAGAACCCTGTGTTGAGGCATCGATTCGGGGAACGGCTGAGGCACTTAAGCCGACTAGATTGATGAATCTGCCATTGCCCCAGCGGGTCCGCGATCGTAGAACGCCAAATAACACGTCCATAAGAACCTTGTGTTAAGGCATCAATTCGGGAAATGACTAGGGCACTTAAACCGACTAGATTGATGAATTTGCCCTTGCCCCAACGGGTTCACAATCGTAAAACGCTGAATAAATGCGATTGGGGCATATGATTCGTTCGGCGTCGGGTAGTTAGCGCTTTAACATTGAGGGGATTGCCTCGGAGGTGCTGCCCCCGTAGGGAATAAATGGGCGTGTACTTTGCGAACGAGGGTCCTATTTATGTGCTCATTCAACATTTCAGTCCAACTGTTTGAGCAAGATTGAACAAACGCAAAAGTCAAATAAACTTTTCTTCAACAACAGAGGCGAAGTGAAGACTCTAGCTGAGCTAGGAGGAGCTATGAGTCGAAGCGATGAACCTTCACACACGAGCAGTAGGACTTTGAGGGATCGGGAGAGGCGTCAATTTCCTCGTCGTCGGAGTAGGTCGCCCAGGAGGGACAAACAGCCACAGCGTAAGTCTCCTCAACTTGGTTTCGGCAGGCAACCTGACGTGACTTCTCGCCCTTTGAGTTTTGCAGTCTTCGTGGGTAATAGACCAATGACAAAGGTGGACTTGATCATTCGAGATCCGAATGTGGCAATCGAGTTTGCTCGATAGATTTTTTCGCCCGAAGTTCAGCAGTCGATGGTAGGTCGACAGGATTTCGAAGTGTTTATGAGATCTGCATGCGTCTCCGCGCCGCTCGCCGCGACATAGAACAGAGAGATGAACGCATTCGGAAGTTAGAAGCTCGCGTCGAGAAGGCTGAG